TTGGGGATGGGGAGTGAGGGGAGGTTTGGGGATGGGGAGTGAGGGGAGGTTTGGGGATGGGGAGTGGAGGGAAGTTTGGGGATGGAGGGAGGCTTGAAAGCGGGAGCAGAGAGAGGTTGGGAGGTGGAGGGAGGATTTTCTATGCGTTTTGTGCTGTGTAACAAGAGTACATAAACAGCAACGCGCACTAGACTAGCTGGTGTGGTCATGCGTTTTGTGCAATTTAGCCCACCGAACGATTGCCTATTAATGATTTTCGCTGCTTTGTACTTTAGTCTGTGCAAAAATAGTTGAAGCGTTGGAAAATAGTTAAGAATTTCGCGCACCGGCGCACGAAGGCTGAATTTGAAACCTTGAAGGGTTAATATCTTGTTGTGTTGTTTCAAGAAGGCACGATTTTTTTTTTTCAACGTGAAATAAAACGTGATTAACCCATGCTGTTGATGACTGTAACAATATCGCCTGGTAAAATGAGGCAGAAGATGAGCTGCAGGAGAACGGTGAAAACAATAATTTTCCAGGATACCGAGGATAATGGCGATGGGAAAATTCTGCTGAGCACATCACTTTTCGACCATATTGTTCGCACCAACTAAAAATGCCAATCCGATTCCCTCAACTGAAGGATGTAAACTATTATTCTTATTCAGCATCGCAAGTCAAGCGTTTGCAAATGCAACAAAGTAGAGAGGTGCAATTTAGCTCAAGACGTGGAATGAAGCGGAAACGAGGAAGGCAAGACGCGGAGAAATCAGCGGGGAGGGAGAGAGGAAATTGGTTGTCAAGAAAATTCGTTTCAAGAATGTTGGACTCAAAGAGAAAAGTATTATGGATTTACAGACCTACAGAAATGGAATAAAAAAGCCCGAATTTTGTTTAATTAACCTGAATAAATGACGCGTTGCATTCATCGACAGCGTAAATATGCACGAAGAGGAACACTGGTGCACCACAAAGCACAAATATAAGCAAGTGTGGCGAAACATTCCTCCTTTTCTGGAAATCACTGGTTTAGTTGAACCACTGTATTTTCAGTGAATTCGATACTTTTGACTAGCACTAATCCAGCTAGCGTATTTTGCAACAGCAATCAATCATCAGGTTTTGACAGGTGATTCAAATGTTTAAAAAAACCGCCAAAAAGAAAAAATCAACCATCGCTGGATCTCAGCGACTGAATTTTCGAACGATCACGACAACCAGCATATGAATATTCATGACATTCTTTAGCCGATTTTTGATCAACAACACAAAACATTAAATCGAAACAAGAAAAAAAAAATTGATCATGCTGAAATCACTTATCGTACATTTTTGCTGCTTTGATCAGCTGCTGACCCATCCTCGCTTTATTTCTAGCCACCGATACAGCCTTACAGCCACATTGTATCTTGAGCCTCTATCACCCGCAAATTTGAAATCAGGCGCTTAAACGATCTTTTCTTCCCACTAATGGCCACTCCGTTGTTCTTTTAAACAACAATTAAGTACCATTAAGTAATCCCTTTTGTTCATCTGCTGCCTTCCGTCCTAGCAGCGTGATGCACCAACTCTTCATCCCGAGATTATCGCTGATGCTGCACCAGAGCCCAGGAAATACACTGTAACTATCTGACATCTGTCATGAAGCGTTTTCTGGCCGACTTCATGAACATTTTTTCACTTCAGCAAACATGATATTCTATGTTCCTTTCTCATACAACAGACCTGGGAACAGAATGGAATTAAAAAGTGCCGCTTTAACAACCGATGATATGTTGGTATCGTAAAAAACGCCGCATAGCTAGAAGGCTATCTATTCTAATTGCTGTTCACCTGCAATGTTTGTCTCAAGTAGTTAGAGCTGACCGCGAGCTCAGTTTGGTGATTCTCTCAAGCACCAATCTGAACATGCGTTTTTCTTTGCTTTCTGATTCGGAGCCCAATTTCTCTCACAGTGGTCGCACTCTCATTTAACAGACTGAGTAACATTTGCAGTGATTTTCACATATGCTGTAAATATTGTAATTCTACAGTTCGTTTTGTGCTTTTCTTTTTCAAAGCCAGAACGTGAAGTTAACCTTTGCGAATTAAAAACGACAAACATACAACATGCTTCATTTTTTGAGCGAGGTCTTTTACCACCTACAGAACAGCTTTCATGCGGCTTCCTGGTATTATCATCAGCACTTTAGCAATTTCTCTCAGTAAATCAACCACATGCCCTCCGACTAACGAGTCGACATCAACAATCTTCTTCCTTCCCATCAAATGAGAAATTGTTCTAAACTCACATCGTTAATGCCTGCGGAGCGAGTGTGGTCCTTTTTTCTGCGTTGTCATGCAACTTAAAGTCGCATCAAGGTGACCAGTGGCATTATGTATGTGTATGGGTCCACCCGTTTTCAGTCTGTCTTTTTCATCGCCGGAATTATGAAATTTAGGAAGCTGAATTTTTGTGAAAAGTCTTCCCGACCGCATACGAACCGCATAGTCGAATGAAAAAGGTTGAAACGCGACAAGGAAACAACAGCTGAGCAAAATATCAAAGTAATTAGTTGCAAGAAGCGAAAGGCGTGAGTAGCGACAAAAGCTTAAAACTGCAACAACCTGCGCGGCAGCAATCTGTATGCGTTCAATATCTTTCAGGTTGACAGATGACCGCCTGGATGAGAGCGAATGCTGCGAGCCGAACAGTGACGAACGTCGGCTACTGCGAAGCATCGTTTCTTTCCTCAGTCGTTGATTGTTTCCAGATGCCGCATTATTTCCTCATCACGATGTCGAGAATGTATAGAGAAAAGCAAAAGGCTATCTGTGAAAATCTTTAGTCTGATGTACCACTGCTCAGCGAGGATCCATCCGCCCATCTTCCATAGTGCTGAGCCGACGCCCTGTTACACTAAATCTCGCTTTTGCAGCTTGTGCTCCCACCTTCATGCAAAATGCTCATCGCATTTGTTAGAATTAGCATCACAATAAATATTTCCTACACAATTAAAAAATACACACTCATGTACATACACCAACCCCGTCCTTTTCCACCCCCTTCCACCCTCTCACTCATCTCTTGCACCATAGTGCTTCCTTCCTGCTTCGAATATTTTCGCAACAAGGACTACATGAGCTGATGACGAGGTCAGGCTTGCGCGGATCTCTCGTAGCAGTCCTGAAACTTGAAGTCAGATCTTGCCGTCTTTGATTCCAGTTAAAAAATCCGAGTAACTCGAAGAATTGCGAGCCACGAACTTGAATTGCATTGCATTTCATTGGCAACTAGATGCTCTCTGAATATTTCAGATCAGCTCCTAATTTCACTTATCCTGATTTACGATTCATATAGAGGGTGATGTTGAAACTTCAGCACCGGAGAAACAATCCCTTTTCTGCACATCACGCAACATGAATGGGTTGTAAACAACTTTTGAAATTTGTTATATTTATATATATTCTGGATTTAAATCACTGCTCTGCCCAGGCCGAGAAAGCGATAAATTAAATGCAGAGTTTTGGATCACCGACTGGGCCAAAACAACTCAGAATGGAACGCACCAAGTTTGCCAGTGCGGTCGTGCGTTTTTGCACCAAAATTGAAGTAGTTAGGTTGCTAACTGCATGAATGGTTGTAGCTTCACATCTACCTTGTGCGCTCTCTACCATAAATCATCGCAAGTTTTGCATAAAGGAAAATAATCAATTTCCGTTTAGTGACGCGTCAAAAATGACTTAGCTCAATGAGTAATTTTCCCGCCAAAAATTTAAGCACCCGTTCACGGGAACCACGCACACCTGGAGGGCTGAATTTGAAATCTTTAATTTATATTTGGACAGGGAATATTCTCCTTAAAATTTCAGCTTTCTATCTTTTTTTGTTCCCGAGCTAGCAGTTTTCCCGCCAAGACTTTCACCGGACGTACGTGAGAACCAAGCATACCTGGGGATTCAAATTGACAAACTTAAGTTGTACACAAGCTGGGGACATTCTCTTAAAATTTCAGCCTCCTAGCTTTCCTGGCTTCCAATTTAGCGATTTTCCCGTCAGGAACCCTCACGGGGCTGTATGTGATAACTACGCACACCTGGGGCCTGAATTTAAAATCCTTGAGTTCTATATGGGCGAAGAACATAGCCTCGAAATTTCAGCTTCCTAGTTTTTCTCGTTCCCGAATTAGCAATTTTCACGCCAAAATCTTCACGCGGAGTCCAGGCGTGCGTGAGAGTTGGTACCGCAGCCCTGGGGTGGCACCTGGCCCAGCAGCCTACTTGCAAAATTTTGACGCCGGAGCTTGCTTGATTGCCGAGTTGAAATACCCGGTCATACGAACACATATATACACACACACACAAACAGGGTCATTACAATATGCGTTTTTGCAATTTGCATACACGCAAGAACGCATAAAAATCTTGCACCTAGGAATAAATAATTAGCATTTAAACTACATAATTTTCCTGCAGATTTAGTTGTATACATGTGAATTCCCACAAATTTTGTCGTTTTCGTATACCCCCGCCCCTCCCGTCCCAAAAAAAGGTCAAAAGAAGAAGCGTGCAACTGAAACTAGTGAAACATGACAAGGATCATCTTCCAAAATCGTCCTTTAATTCATTTTTTCAAAAATTTTCACAACCGCAGCTTGCAAGCAAGTCTTTTTATGCGTTTTTTGCATCTGTGCTGTGTAAAAACGCAATTTTGTTGAGGTGTTGTCTGTGTGTGTGTGTCTACTGAATTTTCATCTCGATATCTACAAAAGCCACAAGGCTGGAACTTTGGTAACTTAGTCTATATATACGTACGGCTTCCTATTCTCAGAATGGACGTTCTAGTCCACGTGGTTCTCACATGCGGGTATGTGAAAGTTTTTTGGTAGGAAAGCGATTCCAGGAACGGCGCAAGCTGCAAGGCTGGGACTTCACAAAGATGTGCCTTGGCCACGTTTAATCTAAAAATTTCAAATTCAGCCTTCACACACCCCTAGGTTTTGCGTAAGCGCACGTCAAATTCTAAATCAGCATCGCGCCAACCTCAGATTTTAGCTGACCAAGAAGTTTTAGAAAATTGTAATTTTGCAGCTTAACTTGTCGCCCACTGCTGTGTCCGTGAAAATAGAGCTTTCCAGTTCCTCTGCATCCCCTGTACGGACACGTGAAAATTTCACACAGGCAGTTTTGTAACTTCAGAAATGAAGCCGCTAGAGAACTGAAACTTTCTGAGCATAACCGATGGCGGCGTTTGGTCAGGTGGACGTAAAAACGAATTTCACATTTCTTTCATGTCTCACGTACGCCCCCACGCATGCACACATAAAATTTAATGTAACTCCGCAACTAAAACAGCTAGAACGCTGAAATTTTTTGGACGTGGCCCAGGGCCATGTCTGAGAAAGCGCACGTGAGAACAGCACCTACTTCCGCCTCAGGTGCGAACACGCGAAATTTGACATAACTTCGTAACCAGAGCACCTAGAGCGTTAAATTTTTTGAGCAAGGATTGGGAGTCATTGTATTGACATTCATAGTGGCCAGACTTATTTCCTTTAGCTAGAGGCATTTATCGGAAAAAACTGCGCCGTTAGCAACAAAAACCTGCGGAAAAACTGTGCAAAAAATGCGTCTTCGCGCAGGCAGCCGGTGCGCGGGCCAATTTTTTTTTTTTTATCTTGGCAGGAAGTTTCTTTTTTTTCTATGAATGCATAAACATGCTTGCCGCGGGGCACTTTGATGAGGCCATCATACGAGCAATAACTGTTGGTCGTTTACAATTCTCTAATAACAAGTAGTTGTTCCTCCACTATTTGTGCTCATCTATGCCTGCTGCAAAGCGACGGCAAGTACTACGAATTCTAGCCGCGTTTCATAATTCAAACAGATTTTCGACGAAAGTTAAAGTCATGCCTTGAAGAACCCTCTTTAACAATAGGACTTTCGATTCTGCACATTTCAAGCCTTCTGCAAAAAAATTTTTCTACCATTAAGGCCTATCAGCATTTTTATTCAAACAAACAAACGGTCAGAAATATTGATAGGCTTTTCTCGGCAGACAAAGCAGATAACTGGGCATGGCAACAATGCTGCATTCAGGATAAGCGAGCAACTCATTTAGCATGAAGCAGAACAAAAATTCCAAGAATGGTTGATTACACTTCTTAATCCGAAAGTAGTGCCTGACGCGGGAACGAAAGAAAATAATGCGGTGAGATTCTTAAGGCTAGCTAAATTTTAGCAGTTCACCACGGTTGTGTAGCCTAAGTATCTCGCAGAACCGGTAAAAAGTTGATGCTGCACTCGAAATGGTGTACAGGTAAAAGCCTACCACCACTTTTACTATAGCTCTCCGCAACAATTCCTTTCCTGCATATCTTATCACTGTAGCCGCTCAGTGCAACAACATACCAATCAAATCTACCCAAATCACTTTTTCCCTGCACACTTTGCTGTTATTTACTCCCATAATCTTCACCAGTCACGTCGACAGTCTCTTCGAAAGTTATTTTGGTGAATGCTTCTTTTCTGACTGCTGGTTCGGTGTGATGTAGCTGACGAAACAGAGTTTAGCGGTAAGAGCAGAGAAATTACTTCCCAGTACGGCTCATACGGTAGAAGCGTGCATTTGAGATATTTGTTACAATCCATGCAGTTCTGTTCTTTTCTGAATTCTGTTCGGGTGCCACTGATTTGCATAAACGAAACTTGACCGTGTAATCAAATATTTCGGTTCTGTTCCTAAGCCTTTATGTGAGATACATGTGGGAGCGTGCGTCTGTATGCACGCATATGCATAACTGTACATTTGTGCGCGTGTTTGCATATACATTCACATTTTGCGCACCTCAGCTTTTCAGCGCTACTCATCATTTACAATAATTGTTGGGACTGGTAGGTTTGTTAGGGAAACTAGGTTCCTCATGTCTGTTAATTACTTTTTTATGTGCGTTATGTGTAGAAAAGGCTACCAATGAGGTAAAAAGCAATAGATGATGCAGAGTCTGGCAACAGGTCAGCAAAGGCCGAGAAATATGCTGCAGCTACCAAGACGAGGGATACCTCATCGTAGCTTAGTAGCTGCAACATTCAGGATGAAGTAATGATGCTCAATACACATCAAGAAAATCTCGGAACGACTAAA